TACAAAATTTTGTGGAATTTCCATCATCAAAGTATTTTTCCAATCCGCCCATGCCCCCATATCATATCTCGCGAATCGATAAATCAGGCCACCACTCGATCAGCGAGCAGAGCGGCGCACAAAGCTCGGGATGCTGATTTTCATTTTTCGAAAAAGCCCTTTTATCTCCTTCGCTCACCTCCTCTACGCGATGTGGGGCGCGGGGCGTGTGCTGGTACCCCTCCCGCATCTGCAAGCGGGGCCAGAATTTATGGCCATGCAGTTACGGAGCTCCTTCTTTAGTGCTTGAGAGCTACCGTGTATGAATGCGTGGGTACGAAGAAAAAAAAAAAATCCTAAAAAAAACTCGAAAGATGTAAGAGTAAAAGGCTCGCTTGGGAGGAAAAACGTGTGAAATTGCAGTTTAAGGCTTCTTTGGAATTTCCAATTTACGTACATACAAACATGTAAATTCACAATGATGTCTCTCCGTGTAAATGAAGCGAGAGAAAACGATTCGGCGATGATGCAGTACGCGCCCGAAGCACAATGGAGAGTCTCGTATACCTACATTTTTCGTCGGCGGTATATTCACAATGCTCCCCCGCAGGGGTATGCGGGTCGACAGGTGTACGCGTATATAAAACACGCGCATTTATCTCGGTGCTTCCACTCCGATTCCGTTGTTGCTAACCCCCCCCCCGCTCCACTTTTCCACTTTTCCAACACCCCAAAACACCCGTGCCCACCTAATGCGTCCACTCTGACCTTTCCCGAGCTACCCACAAGAGAGACGCCTGGGCCGTAAATCCCTTTCGCCCCCTCCCCCCTCCCTTTGTCCTCGCGTGGGCTCTTTTCTTATTTTACTACGTGCTCGTACCTCACCCTCTCGCAGACAGTCTTCAGTGGTGTCGGTATTTCCCCCTCCCCCCCCTCTCTACTTTCACGCGCCAAAGTCGCCCTTTTTTCGCCCTCCACGTTTCCACGGTCCTACGCGCAGGAAAGCGTTAACGAAGCGAGCTTCCTGTTTCTGCATACATACCTCTGTCGAGAACTTGACTTTCCGCGATCTCCCCCCCCTTCGCCTTTCGTTGGCTCTCGCGTTTTCCCCGTCATCCCTCATTTTCCGGATGATGAAACGCCCCATCTCCCTTAATCAATCCATGCGCACGGGGCCATTGAAAATCGTCCTCGATGGGAGCGAGCTATGGCTTTTCGTGGGGGATTAATCTTTCGTCGACGAGGGAGGAGATGGAAAGTAGCGTATCGGCTTCGCGAGTCTCGTCCGTAATGGAAAGTATTGTTCGGGTCGTGATGAGGATTCTTTTTTTTTTTTCTTTTTTTTTTTTTTTTTTCAAACGAAGAGCGAAATCGAAGGGCTGTTAATCAACTAGAGGTCCGTGGAATTGCCAAGATCATTGGAATGGCTTTGTACGGACTGGGATGTCGATGCTTTTCCAAGATTGCACATGTACTTATTAATATGTTCTGCTTGAGTAGGTGGATAATAAAAAGTCAAATAAAAAAAATAGTGTATTGTAATGAAGAATATTTTTTATTACATTTAGAAAGGATTTTGTGCATAAATCTTTCAAGGGCTTGTATCTTGAAGTGTAGCATTTTGAGATGAGATTGATGAAATGAATTTTCAGAAATTAACAACTTGTACACTTTTATCATTAAAACTGAAAAAAGTTCCATTTTGATGTGTTAAATAAGACCTTGTTTGCTAATACGTATTTGCAAAGGGTTTTTTAGTTGGACCATTTTGCATGATTACTTTTTTTACTCCTCATAACTATAGTATAAGAAACTAATTTTTTTTTTTTAATACATATAAAGTGTTCTATTTTTTTGTACGTAAAAAAAATCATTCGGTTCATTTAACGCATTTTTTGAAAAGTTTCCCACGGAGTCAGACAAGAGTATCCTTAAAATCGTGACGAATACAATACTCTCGTGCCAAATCTGGCCTAGTGCGATAATTTCGAATCTATAACTGCGACAAAATCTGTATGGTTTTTTGGGTCAGATTTTCATTTTCGCATTAATTTTTTTCTTTACATATGCTCTATACGTGAATCGTGTGACTCGAGATCCACAATAATCATCTCTAATTTCAGCCAACAGCACTTTCGTCGTATATTGGAAATAACGAGGGAAACAAACGACTGACGAGGCTGTACTTCCGAACGAATCGAGTTCTACTCATAAAATTGAACCATCGTAAAACAGTTGATTCTTTAACGATCCTTGAAAATTGACATCAATTTCTCATCAACGGTACCCTTTGATTGTCTGCACAAATTAAGAGTATCAAACAATGACCCTTGAAGACACTTTCTGAAAGAAACAATAGTTTGACTTTACTTAATAGCGCAAGTTTAATTTTGAGTAAATCGTATAATAAGTGTGTGCATGTAAATACATGTACTTGAGTATGAATATCAGTGATGAGGAGAAAACTTATAATGAATAATCAAGGACAAGTGTGAGCAAAGGTAATTATTTGAAAAGTGTAATTTAAACTATCATGAGTCTCCAGACACGAGTTGTTTGCTCTTGTTTGAGCATCAGAGATTTTCAGAAATGCAAATACGCTTGTTTTAGTTTTGAAAACTTGTGACTTTCTTTAGTCAAACTTTTGCGTAGGGTATATTCGTTAAAGCTTTGAGGTGATTTATTCAACTACGTGTAATACTTGATGTGTTGGTCGAAGCAAATAAAGAGGGATTTATTCGCGCAAAGGAAAATAATGGGCTTCAAATTGTTTTCGATGCACTCAACGAGAGAAACCAGAGATCACCAACATTAAACCAAACAATAACCTTATCGCCGTTGTAACCAAATTCAGCTAAAACGGCAGTCTGCCCTGAAACTCTTTTTTCTCAAAGAAGATGCGTTTACGCAGAAGGAAAATGCTGAATCCCAGTAAATATTCCCATCATGGATGGGGACAAAAAAACGCAGAAAAAATCACAGTCACAAGTTCCAATGGCTCTTTTTCCAAGAAAATTCTATAAGGCGCTCCTCGATGAATTCTCCTCGCACCTCTCTTTTTTCTTTCACTCGCTACTCCCTTATTTTTTTCCCATTGACGGGCGCCACATCTTTCCACGTTTTATCGGTAGCGCTCGTGAATGGCTTTATTTTCCCCTCCTCTCGACAACCTCCTCAAAACAATGCGAAAAACATCCACAAGTGCATTCCAAATACCTACACATACACAACCGAGGGGAATCTTAACAACCTAGTGCTAAAAGCGCTTTTTTCTGTCCTCCTTTTTTTTTGTTTCTATTTTATTTTTTTACCCAGCACACTTCAACAACCCGTCCGCGCGTGGTTTCTCGCCGAATTTATATCGCTGTGGCATACTTCCGAGCTGCATAACTTTACAGATTCCACCTCCCCCTGGCTACTCTTTTTTTTTTTTTTTGCGTTTTTCGTCTCGCCTACTTTTCCTTTCCCCGCTTTTATTCATCCCAGCACTTGTTGTTTGGTCTCTCGTTTCATCTGCGCGAAAACTCGCCCATTCACCCGCTCTCTCTCTCTCTCTCTCTCTGAAAATTATTCACCCCCTACTGTATAATACACTCGCGGGGAGAGCACATAGATCGCGTGTGTTGTATGCGTTCTTGCGTAATTGCGACGTAAATACACACAAGCGCGTAGAGGTGCATGATACGCTTGTTTTTTTTTTTCCTTTATACGTGCAGTTCTCTCCTCGTCGTTAGCGAAATCGCTTTGGTGAGCGCAGAGTTACGTTTAGTCGACAAGCTCATTCTTTGTATGTTTTTTTTTTTTTTTTTTTTTTTTTTGCTACTTTTTTTAACTCACTGTGCGTATAAACATGTCGCTCAAAGAGCTATGGCTGAGGAGCGGTCGTTTTATTTTTTTATTTTTTTTCTGAGTACGTTGAAAAACTAGCTCTCACGGCCGAAAAAAATGCCCGTGTACCAAGCGCTGTTTGTTTTAGTTTCGGGCTTACACTTGCTGCGTGTAGCGTTAAATTACAAGAGCCCGAAAAGACTTCGTTTGAGAATTTTTCGTGTTTGACCAGCGATGGTTGAATCAGCCATGGCTGAAAATCTCCCTTTCAAAGAAATATCAGTGCGATTCTCGTTTCCGAAAATTTTTCTTTGATCCCATGGATTTTGATTTGATAAGAAATTGTGATGTCAAACTTCAGAATTAACATGGACCACGTGAATATAATTTATTTGAAAAGTAGCATAAACTGTACTTTTGTAACGTTACAACACATTTGTACAAACGTTTGTAAAACGTCGAATACACGCTGCCTGTTGTGACTAAGGATCGCTTCTAGAACCCTTACACACTTATTTTTAAGTAACTGGTGTACCAGTTTAGTGTTACAATATGGATAATACAACCCAAATTAAAGCTTCAGCTCTTTCATAGTATTATTAATATTAAGTAAATAATTAAAGTTATTTAAATTGGTAACTAGGATAAAACAACGGTATTCCTTACTTTAGATCACAACACAACATTGTTCAATCATTTACACAAAAATTCACGCGTAAGTTAAATTAAGTCACGAAAGATATTTTCAATCATTTGAAGGTAGTTTTCAAGGCATTTTCTCATCATAATATGTTGGAGTTTTGCCAAAATATATTTTTATCGTTTTGCAAACGTTTTGGGCTAAACGTGACGTTGTAAAGTGCCCACCCAACTGGCACACCTTAACTTCTCAGCAATAATATTCCAAATTGTATAATTAAATAATTTTAATTACAGTTGAAAAATATTGTTCAATAACTTTCATTATTAAAATAGCAGAGTTCTATTGAAGCCTGTGTCGAAACAAGCATTTTGAATCATAACTTTTTTGTAATTGATTTTGTCAATCATAACTGGGATTTAACGTACTAATAACAAGCTTTCAACCTTTTATGGTAAAAATTTATCACTATGAATTCGTGACATATAAATTTAACACAGCTGTTTGTCATTATTTAATGTTAATATTGGAAATTTTTATTTTTTTCCTACAGATTCGTCAGGCAAGGAGACGAGCTGAGAATCCTCGGCTTCAATATCAGCGCCATGCGGTTTATCCTCGTCCTGGCAACTCTGATTTTGGAGGCTCAGCTTTACTTCACAGGTAAAATTAAACCCACTCAAGGCGATAATTTCAAGGGCCAGCCAGGAATTTTCATTAAAACGCCGAGAAGAGAAAATAATACGAGCGATTTTTCCATGCTACGTAATATTTTCCAATATAATTAGAAAACTCATGCATGAACGCCGACATTGAAACATTTAGTTATTGCCCTGCTAACATAAATTGCATACTGATTATTTAAAATAATTACAGTTTTAAAAAGAGTCTTCATTTACTACTTTTCAATTGAATAAACAATTGATTTGACACAAATTCTTGTTTATTTGAATTTTTTTTTTTTTCTTCTACGGTAAATATATCTGGTTTGACAAAAACTTTTTAGCACGAATACTTAAATACTAAAACAAACTTTGACTATCAGCATCTAGGGGTAAGTGTACATATTTCCATGGTCTGCCCTATTACCGTGCATTTACAAAAATATGCTGTTTAATTTTTGAAAAAGTGTAATAGCGGTCGCAAAAAAATTATTTCATATTAATATCCAAGAATAGCTCAAATTAGGATAAAAATGTAATATTTATATGATTAATTTATAGAGAAAATCATATTTATGCACGGTATTAGGTACCAAGAGTATGTTAGACGGTCGTGTACGTATTACCGTGGTAAGGCCTGTGATTGAGACATCCACGGTAATATGTACACGGTAATAGGTACATGACCACGGTAATACCTGCATACTATTTTTTTTAATTTTAATAATAATCCATTCAACTTTTAGTCTCGAAAAAAATTTTTAAATAATCTTTAAGAGTTTATGCAAGACTTAAGAAAAAAATCCTTAGGATTTTGTCATTACTCAATATTTTATGGTGCATTTAATTTGGATTTTTTAACATACGCCACGGAAATATGTACACTTACCCCTAGTAGTAATAGAAGTTGAGTTTCACTAAACTCCTCATCGCGAAAAAAATTGTCATCCGTTTTTATTCTGTTACCTTCGAACTCGAAGTACTTGGTATAGGGTTAAGTTATAATGAAAATAAAAAGTCATTTGTACAATATCGTGGCCAATCATGCTGAACAACCCTTCTTTCACCCTATTTTTACTCCCTACCCCTAAAAATTGCTTTAAATCATGATTTCACGCGATTTCGTATAATTTTACGTCTTATTTAGCAGACACCAAGAGTAAACTGTCGGCGATGCAAAATAAATTTTTATCCATAAGATTTTTATGGAGCTTCCATTCAACCAAAACCTCACAGAAATTTCACAAAGTGACCTTACAGGAACCTTATAAAATATATCTGCTATTTCCTTTTCTTACCTGATAAAAAAATTAAGTGCACGAAACTAATCCACAAAATTGTAATCCCTCGAAATACTTATTTCCGAGTACCAAAAACGATTTGTAATGAACAAATAACCTATCTCCGTTCCAACTTTTGGTTCTAATTTTAATCCACACAATTTCAGACCTTTCCCCCCGAGCACTCCGACACATTTCATTTAAAAACAACGTCCCAACGCTCCAGCGCGTCCTCGGCGTCGCTTACAGAGTTCGAAATTTATCAAATCAAATTACTCCAACTCACGGGTTCGTTGGCTGCGTATACACTGAAGCACCACGACCAAGTCAAACTTTTCCCCTTAAAAATTTCACTCCAACTTTTTCGTTGATTAATCAACACTCGAGCACAGCCAGGACTCCACACAACCCTTTTTCCGTGGTGAATAAAAAATGCCACAACTTCGTTCAATCAAGTTCAGGGAGAACGAAAAAAGGGCAGACAACAACTTCCAAAGACAGGGAGCGATAATTAAATCCCTCTTTGCAAGTATAAAAGCCATAAGCGCTTACCCGGGGCTTGAAAAACTTGCCCAACTTTTAATCCCTACGCGTGGGCTTTGGTGAGACATCCCGCACTCTCTGGCCTGTTTTTACTCTGGCATTCCAGAAATTTTACATAAAACAAACGTCATAAATGTACGAGAATAACTTTGGGTTCCCTTTTCATGCAGCTGGAGTCTGTGTTACAGTAGTGGACACATAAAGTAACACAGCAGTAGCTAAGGGAGTAATAAAAGTTAAAACAAGTGACCGAATTAACACAAATCAGTAGATAAATTTATGCAAAAACTAAATGTTCCGTTATACGGCACAACTTCTGTACCTCAATCTAGAGAAAAATGTTAACTAATAACATAAATTTCAATGTACATTTTTTATACTTCTCGAATAGATAGTATTTATTTAAGTTATTAGTTTTTTTCTTATTTTTTATTTTTTTTTTACTTTAAAAATAAGAATAAACATTTTTCTATAATAAAAGCATAAAACAACTATAATTTCAAAAACGCATTTTTTTTTACTGTACATTGACAAATGCAAACGGTAATGCTGTTGGGAAAATATTAATTATAATTATAAGGGTCTTCTTTTAATTTTTAGACTAGGAGAATGGGCTTCCAAAAGTGTTGAAAACAATCAAACAAGGTTCTTTTTCAATGTTTACCTTTTCGTGTTGTAAATCATGTCCAAGAATTATGTTAATGAAAATAACTAGCTTCTCCATTTTTCAAAAAGTCTTTTTTCTAACTTCTTTAGCATAAGACTGTGTACGTGTATTTTACACAGAAAAATCAAAGGCTTATTTTTTCACCTATCAATAATTTTCTTAAAACTTTTTATATAAGATAAACAATAAAAACAAAGCTACCTTTATTTTGATCCAATTCAGATCTCAATTTTACAAGACAAAAAATGTTAACGTATTATAAATTACCACCATATTTCGTACAAAATTCTTGTTACAATTCTAAAAATAATAACTATTCATGGCATAACTTGCTGTTCTTATAAAAATATAAAACACTTTTTTGGAACAATAATAAAAAAAAAAAAAAAAAAAAAGCCAGTGGTCATCGAAGCCCAGTGCGGTAGTTTATTCGGGGGAACGGCCATTATCTTCCTTCCCATGCTTTCTTTATTGCTCGAGACCGCAACAAAGAACTTTTCGTTCGTTCTTCAATAAAGTACGCTTCGTACGGCACAGTTTATTGCTCTCTAAATTCCGAAGAATGAAGCCTGGGCCCATAGATGCGTGTACACATATACATATATTCACGAAGGTTGGGAGGGAATTAAATGTATCACGCGACGATGAAAACGTATTCATGGACATGACTCGATCGAGATATTAATCTCAAAAAAGTTCCACCTGATCCTTTTTTTTTTTCATTCATTTTTCGTACATTTTAGAATTTATTGATTCCTATTTAAATAGGATTCAAGATTTCTATGACCCGAGCGATGGAACAAAAAGCTTTTTTATTTTCAATTGAATTAATAATCAGTTTAAACCTCTTGACCTCTCTCGTCTCTTGAAAAAAATTTAAACTCCTTCAAAATTTAATTAAACTTGGGATGACGTATTTTTTTATTGAAAAGAGAAATGTTTATACATAATAGCATTGCAATAATGTGTAAGTGAATTTTGTCCCAAACTTAAGTAATTTCTGAGCACATACACATAGATACACAAAAAATTTCGTTATCATTCTTACACCACTTAGGAAGCAAGTGGATTAACTTTATGTACAGAAACCAAATTTTAGTGCATAAAATGTAGAAACTGAGAAGATTTAACGTGTATACATAAATAATGGACACACAGTAAGACAGAGATTCAAAAATAAAAATATGAAAAACATTGTACATTTTGTACATGAAAATACATAAAGGTGTGAAAAAAATGTATCATCAGCGTTTCGAGTTCTCTTAACTGAGAACTTTCTGGAGATCCAACCCTATAGAATCGAGATTACGACACGAAATGTATATTTCGAAAACAAATCAATTTGGGGCTGTTGGCATGTTGAACTTACAAATTTCTCCTCACGCGTCCCTCTGCGGTGAAAAGGTAAACCAAACACTATTTTTATTTTTTGGTAGTCACGACCGTCCCAACGGCACCGCCAACAACAGCTCATCCAGCCATTAACTTTCGATGTCACGTGTACCTAAGTGAATACAAGCTTCCGCGGGTGCACCAATCATTTTCGACGCCCACTCCTCAGAAAACACTTAATCCAGCCTCGAGCTCATCACTGCTCGACGAGTAATTTCCGGCTTTCGTGCCTGTTATCTCTCTGCACAGAGGCCGAGGCGGCACAACTTTTCTCGCCTTGTTACACATCCTGGCACCCTTCCGACGCTCTCGTTCTAGAAGAGCTTAATTGTTAGTTTCGCCGTTTCCTGACGTCATCGACCCCGGCCTGCTTCACCTTTTTTTCTTTGATCCACGTTATTTCAACGGAACTGGCGTTGTTACGTGCTCGAGTATTGTATTTTCATCCAGCCCGATAAAGTCTTCCATTTTTTCCCCTTGGTGCGTGACTTCCTGTGAATCTATATTGTTTTTTTTTTTTTTTTTTTTTTTCTTTTCGTTTTCTTTGAAAACTTGAAACACCTGCAACAGCGTGTTTCATTGAGGTTCGTAGATCTATTTCTGGTGAGTTTAAATTAGACGTTTGAGTGATTTTTTATGTCCTTTGTGTACACTACTCTGGACTGGTGCTCTACAGTTTACTGTCCCCAAATAGGATGTGACGTATCTACACTCGTTAGTGGTACATTTCACAATGAAGCGATGAAGCGGATAACCGTGTGCAGTACACCCAAAATACCAAGGGGTTGAAAGTCGTTGATGCCGTTCAGCTTTTAAAAGACCGAAGATAGATGTAACAACTTGGAATAAGTAATCAAGTTTCTCGACTTGTAAGGTCTGAATGGACCAAAGAAATCGACAATGCTACCAAAATACCGATATCCCAAAGCAGAGGGCGAGAAATTGAACGAGATCCCTCCACCAGTCCAAAGATTTATTCCATGTCAAGTGGGAGTGCTCCGGTTGTCGGAGACTCTCGCAAATTTCGCGGGGTATCGTTCGGGGAAAAATTATTCCGGTCGAAAATGTTGGAGGAAAGCCCGGAAGAAAGTTAGGCAGCTAACGCGACTGGAAATTGAG